GATGGTAATCTATTAATAATGTATGCAACTATATAGAGGGCATCTACCCAAAAGTGACTCGAAACCGAAGGTTCAAGAACATGGTGCGAGTTAACTCGAGTAGATGCCGATGTTTTCTCTCAGCAACACCATTTCACTGAGGTGTGTCAGGACAAGATTTTTGAAAAAAAGATCCATGAGAATTGGAAAATTGCTGCATATCACGATTAACAAATTCACCACCTCCATCACTTTGAAAACTTTTAACTTTCTGATTAAAAAGATTTTCAACCAAGAGTTTAAAATTTTTAAAGTGCTGAAAAACTTCACTTTTGCGGCTCATAGGATAAATCCAAGTAAAGCGAGTATAACCATCAATAAATGACAAGTAGTATTTAAATCCCAAGTTGGATGAAACAGGAGATTGCCACACATCAGAATGAATTATTTATAAAGGTGAAATACAATTATGACTAACATTAGAAAAGGGTAAACATTGTGATTTTCCTAGACGGCAAGCAACACAGTCATGAACAAAGCTACAACTATTACATAAAAATTTATTATTTCTAAGAAAATGCAAAATTTTGTCACCGTAGTGACCTAGTCTACGATGCCAGACGGGACCCGATGTTGACATGGATGATAAGGCTGGTGAAGAGGAAGACGACAGACTGATAGGATAGAGTGGTCCACTACTGGAAGCTTGTAGAAGAACTGCCCCCGAGATTTTGTCCTTGCCAAAATATGAATTTTTATCAAAAATTACAACACAGTTGTTATCAGCACATAATTTTTGAATAGAAATTAAACTAAATTTTAAATGTGGCACATGATAAACATATTTTGAAATTAGAGAACAGTCAGACGAGGGTAGGGACACATAACCAACAATACAGATAGGTAACTGTTACTTCTCTAGACCTCTCCATATTAGAACCAAGGCCCCTACTTTTAAGTTTCATTCCAAGTGTGGTAAACTTAATATTTCTCATGTGGCCTATGCTGATGATTTGATGCTCTTTTTTAGAGGGGATTTCTCCTCTATTAAAGTTCTTGTTCATGCCCTGGATGAGTTTGGAAAGGTTTTTGGCCTTAAAGTTAATTCTGACAAATCTAGCATCTTTCTTGGAGGCTTGGTTGATTATGACATTAATTACATTCTTCATATGATTGACTTCAAAGAGGGAACTTTCCCTATGAGATATTTGGGCATTCCTCTTGCCCCTTTAAAAATCGTTGTGGCACAATATGCTCCATTGTTGGATTCTATTACCAACTTTATCAGTGCTTGGAATACCAAAAGCCTTTCCTATGCTGGGAGAGTGGAGCTTATTAAGTCTGTTATCCAGGGTGTCCAATCTTTTTGGCTACAAGCACTCCCAATACCTAAGGCAGTACTTGATAGAATCAATTCTATCTGTCGTATTTTCCTTTGGGGGTGCAAGTATGCTAGGGTTGCCTGAGCTGATATGTGCCTCCCTAAGGAGGAAGGTGGGCTTGGTATTCATGACACCCATGTTTGGAATTCTGCTCTTTTGGCTAAAACCCTTTGGGATACCATATAAAAAGGATAATCTTTGGGTTCGTTGGATTCATGGTGTGTACCTTAATGGAAGAGGAGTGTGGGAGTTCACACCTCATAAAAGGGTCTCTCAACTGATAAAAAAGATTTCACTTATTAGAGATCAGATCCTATCCCACTTTGATAGCACTCAATCTGCTATTAACCATCTCAATGGCCTATAAGTTAACGGAAAGATGTCCTCGGCCAAAGTGTATGACTTGCTCAGAGTTAAGGGTGAAACTCGAATTTGGATGCCTTTCATTTGGAAGCATTATATTCCCCCTAAATTCTCCTTCACGGTTTGGTTAGCTTTTCGTAATCGCCTTGCTACTTTTGATAATTTGCATAGATTAAATGTGGTTAATATTTGTCCTTTCTGTAAGGGTGGTCTCGAATCAGTACCACACCTATTTTTTGCTTGTCCTTTTTCAGGTGATGTATGGCGTAGGGTGACAACTTGGCTGGGCATTCCTAGAGAGATGGGGACCATGCATAGCTCGCTCAAGTGGATCAAGAAGGAAAGGCAAGACTCGGGGATCAAAGCTAAGACGGCTAGGATTGCTTTTTGCTATTCCATATACTGGATTTGGAGGACCCGGAATGTCACTTGCTTTGATGGGTTGCTGCCCAAGGAAGAAGATGTTTTTGCTAGGATCCAATATATCACTCATAAGATCCTCTATAGCCTCTAGCCTTATGAACTTGTAATTATTTAGGTGGTGGTTTTTTGCTCTTGACCATCACTTTGTTTTGGTGTGTTTTTTGCGGGCGATTTTGTTGTTGTCCGTTGCTTCACCACATATGTTTTGTTGGTGTTAGCTTTTTTATTGGCAGGCTTTTGTTTTGATGGGGAAGGTTATCCTTGTTGGATAACCTACAGTTTTGTTTCCCTTTCCTTGTTTGTACATTCTTGAACCCCCCTTTCTCTTAGGTGTCTTTTTAATATACTTACATTTCACCCAAAAACAAATAGGTAACTGTTCACCATTGGCAACACAAATAGAAGTAGAGCCAGAATAAGCAGATTTATTTAAAAAAATACCTTCAGATGCCATCATGTGAGCAGAAGGCCCGAGTCGGGATACCACAAAGCTAGATTAGTGTCTCCTGGAGTAGTCATTAGCGCTGGTGCAGAAGGTTGTGAAAAAAGAGAGGGACAAACAATTACCGGGTGACCTGTAGAGAAACAAATTTGGCAAACAATAAGAGGGGGGCTGATCACAGAACACCCTCATCTGATGGAAAGCCCGCAGATCCAGAGCTAGTAGCACAAACTGATAAGGCATTAATATTCAAATGTGACACATCAGAATTACTAATAACAGTACCTGTACTGGGATTAAACTGAAGATGAGCACCCCCCGGATGGGGTGTCAAATGTGCCAGAGGAGCTTCGCCGTGTGAAGGCCCAACCATCACGCCGTACCCCTGCGGTTGAAAATAGGCTGGATGGCCTTGCTGTTGCTGCTGCCTTCCATGACCGCGACCCCCACGACCACATGCACCTCTGCCTCGGCCACCTCGACCACGAGGAACCAACGCCGGAGGATGCGGCAGGCCGGGTTTTCACTGTAGTTTTGATACCACGTGAGAGAATGGAACATGTTGCCCTCTAAAGAGCCCTGACATGTACATTTATAACAGAAGTATATTGTTTAAAATACATAAATAACCCTAGTCTATGACATGTATCTATTATATGTGTCTATCTTTGATGGCTAACTCAAAATAAAAATCTACTTTAAGATTTAGAGTAATTATATCTATTTAAAAATGGAAAAATTCACAAGAATAATCCCTTCTATTAGAGATACGTATTCTAATATTAATCCCAATTATGTGTAATTCTAAAATAATCTCAATTATACTAGCAACCTTCCCAAATTAGTCTAGGTTACTTGTGACTTGCTCAACCGGTAAAAGAATTAAAAGAATGAAAAAGGTCAAAAGCCTGGTTCATCATCTTCCCCAGCTATTTTCTTCCTTTGTCTCTAACAGCCGGTCTTCTCACTTTCTCTTTTTTCTTTCTTTTCTCTTCTCCTCCATCGCATAACCAAATCTCCTTCCCACCTTCAATTTCGTTCTCAAGTTTCCACCTCAAATTTGTACTTGATTCTTTCAATTTCAAATTTGAAAAGTTTGATTTCGCCAATCCAACTGAAATATGATGAAACTTGAATGATGACCAACGGGCGATGGAGACTGGACCAGCTGGGATGAATGGATGGATGGCTACAGCCTACGAAGAACACTTGGCATGGACGGAGGACCGGCATCGAAGAACAACTCCGATGGCGAAGATGAAGACGGACGGACAACCGTCATCAAAGAGCCGCTAGAAAGCCAACCGACTGTTCAAAATATATAGTGGTCTTGATGGCGGGGATGTAACTGCAACAAGGAAGGAGCAATGTCTTCTCAAACGACCGTACGACGAATACCCGGAAGATGAAGCAGAAAGAGAGAGCGTAAAAAGAAGTAGAAGAAAATTATGGACTAAGAGGAATAAATAAATACTCCCTCCGTCCCATAAAATAAGTCTCACTTTTCTTTTTGGGCCGTCCCAAAAAATTGTTCCCATTTCTCTTTTTGGAAAGTTTTGTGTGGCTAACATTCATTTACATTTTTCTTACTCAACCCAACCATACATTTTCACTTTATTCCCACTTTCTTAAACTCCGATCCAAATTGAAGTGAGATTTATTTTATGGGACGGAGGTAATAATAAAAAAGAAAACAAGAAGAACAGGAAACATATCGATTGCGAAAATGAAAAGAAAAATATGACACTAGCAGACGGGATAAAGAAAACGGCTTCGACAGAGTTGCCTGAGAAGAGGATCGGAGAAAGAAAAGGGAGAAAAGAAAAAATAAAAGGAAAGATAAAGGAAAAGAAATAAAAGGAAAATAGAAAACATAAAGGAGTCCAATTAAAATCCGCCACGTGGTTGGGTGATCGACCAAAATTGTTAATTCAGGTTACTAGCTTGTTTTTAGAAGATACCATATATTATTTGGATTATTTTGGAATAATCCATATTTCAGATTAAGAGAAGAAGATCTTAAGAGAAGAAGATCATCAGTAATTCGGATTATTCATGTGAATTTTTTCTTTAAAAATTCAATGGGCAATGATTACTCAATTTATTAATAATTACGTCAAATCAAAATATGACACTAGAAGAGTAATAATGCAATACTACCTCCATTCCGGTGGACTTTGACAAGTGCAAAGTAGGTGATAAATAAGAATAGTAAAAATTTTATGATTGAGATTTGTGCAGATGAAAGAGAAATGTGCAGAACCCCAAATTAGTTCCTTTAATAAGAAAGTGACAAAGTTTTTTGGACAACTAAAAAAAGAAAATTGACAAAATCTAATGGAAGGGACGATACATTTTAATGTTTTTTCCGGAATTCGATAGATTCCCGATTTAAACATTTAAGTCATAATCTCATCCTATCATAAACAGGAGTACGGTTTATTAGATTGGGCCATATCTCATCATTATCAATGGCCTCTCTTTAATGTTCTTTTTTTGTCGAATTGCGTGTGTGCTGTCCGCAATATGCAACAGCACTAGGGAACAGCCGGACTGTCGTTTTCCCCGGTTAACCAAACGGTTCATATTCTCTGTTTGGCTTACTCACGAGTCTTGCCTTGACCATCAACATTTTAAGCAAATGCCGAAAAGGCCCAAAGCGCAGCTGGATCTTCATAATGCGTCTTGCTTTTATTTCCAGTACAGTGAAACAGTCAAAGAACACCTTCAAATTTCACCGAAGGTAAGCTCTGAGATACTAATTTTTCTTTTACTCTTTTGGCCATTTTATCTATTATTACTAACAGTCGGAGTTCTAATTCAAAGATTGCACCTTTAAGTAGGATTGTTCTAGTGCATGAGAATGAGGGCGTGTTGGTTAAGGTTCAGAGAAGATTAGCTTTAAAAAATCTCAGTTTCTGATGCTTAACCATCTTTTAAGCCTGGGATTGTTGGAATGGAGATGGAAAAGGGTTTGTCTTGGCCCCATTGTTTATTTTTTCCTTTATTGTACTTTTCGTTTGAAGTATTGTTCTTGGTCTTGTCCATCACTCACTCTTTGCCTTTTTAAACTTAAACTGAGATATTAGCTGCCTGCAGTTCTTTTGTACAGGGAGTAAAAAAGGAGTGTGGTTTTTGTAATTAAAAGAAAAAAATAAGAAACGCGTTTTCTTGTACAATACTCACTCCTTCCCTAAATTTACTTCCAACTTTACTTTTTCGTCCGTCCCAAAAAGAACTTTGCTTTCCCTTTTTTGCAAAGAATTTGTGGTTCACCACATTTCTCTCTCCTCTTCTCAACTCTTCACCACACAATTTTCACTTTCTTAATCACCTTGCCACTTTAATTTGGAAGAACATTTAGGGACGGAGGGAGTATAATATAGGTTGTTTCTAATACTCCGTAAGACTTAGTTTACGTACTAAAAGGTCAACATGACCAGATGAGTAGAATAACCGAAGGTTACATACATTTGAGTTAGTATCTGTGTATTAGCTAGTGTGGGGTGACAGAATAGTTTCTACTTTTATTGCTAGTTTTAGAAAAATATAGATCTTTTTTTCCCAAGGGGGTTGAGTGAATGTAAACAATGGTAGTCCAAGATTAGGATCTCTATGGTTGCTCCTTAATTCAAGACTGCTCTTGCAGGAAATGGACTCAAGAGCTTCCTAGCAAAAACTTCTTCATCCAGACAATATCATCTAGAAGACTTTAACTACTACAATGCCATTTTCTCTAGGACCAAGCAATCATGACGAGGTTTCGCTGCCACAAAATACGCTGTTAACAGATAGTCTTGAGGTAATTTCTTTTTTGCTGGCTTATTTGGATTTTTCTTGAGGCACTTCATAGACAATTCGTAGTTTCAGTTCTTACTTAAAAATTGGTCCTACTTTTGGGTGAATAAATGGCCACCTACTTTGGGCTCAGAGATTATAATTTTTGCTATAGCAGGTTGGCCTGCTGTTTCTATCCGGGGGGATGTAACAATGCATTTTAGGCGTGTTCAATTTTTGATAAAATTTCTGGACCTCATGGGAACACGGGCAGTTTGGGGGTGGGATAGTGTTATGTCATCTCATATTGGCCTAATATAAAAATGTAAGATCATAAATAAGACCTTTAGCTACTCCTTGAATTCATTTGACGTTTTAGAATGAAACCTTAAACCTTAATAGATACGGAGTAGTAAAGAAACATTCACATATTTTCTCTCTACTGCTTTTATTTATTTAGTTATTCTTGTTGCAGGTTAATTTAACAGTATCAATCTTGTTCTTTGTTTTAATTCCATTACCACTATACTTATATACGTGAGATATAGTTTGAACTAAATTAGTTGATATTATAAATTTCATGCCGCCCACCCCAACAAGTGGAAATTAGATCTGGGTGATGATGATTTTGTGTCATTCTGGCAAGTGTTATTTTCATATTACATTTTTTTTTCAGGACTTGGCAAATCTCAGAAAGCAACTCTACTCTGCGGCTGAATATTTTGAGTTATCTTATTTAAATCATGACCAAAAGCAAGCGTAAGTTAGCTTGTGTAATTTATTGAAGGGCCTTTTTAGGTCAATCTCTTCTACTTAGTTTGTTCTGAAGTTTGGTGCTGGTTGTACAGAGTGGCAAATACTTTGAAGGATTATGCCATCAAAGCTCTTCTAAACACTGTTGATCATTTGGGCTCTGTGACATATAAGGCCAATGATATGTTGGATGAAAAAGTGGTGGAGGTTTCTGGAACAGAACTTCGTATATCTTGTGTTGAACAGGTGATCCTATGCTTTGTATATTTTTGTAAGAGTAAAAAATCTATATATATGTTAAATTTTAATCTTTTAACCAAATTTGATTTTCTTTAGTGTTTTCCAAGATAAATCCAAACGTTAAAAAATAAATTTCCTTGATGCATTTTCCCCTCTCTTTACCTTTATAAGAGTTCCATACATAGCCATGATGTCATGATAAAGAACTTGCTTTTGAAGATCGAGTGTTGGGAAACAAAAGCTAACCAGATATGACAAGAGAGCATAATAGCTTTGGGCTGCTTAAATATTTTACATGATGTGATGTGTGTAATTGTGAGGACTGGGGATAGAGGGAGGATATGGGCTTTGAACATTCATTTCCTCTATTATCCTCCAGAGACTAAGGACATGCCAGGAGTATATTGATCGGGAGGGTATTTCTCAGCAATCACTAACCATAAAAACCCCGAAACACTGTAAAAGGTACTTCTTGCCAGGTAAATATAACTTCTTCCGTTTTACACTTTCCACACTTTTCTTTACAATGAAGAAAGAGTTTGAGAGTTATTTCTGCCTTTCTCATTAGTAGGGGACACCAGGTGTGATATCAATGATAAAAATGCCGAGCATCAGTTTAATAAAGGTAGCATCATTATGGTTGATTAACCTCTTATCTTATTAAAGTTAAGGCATTTTTCCATGAATATTACTAAATTATATTCAAAAGACAAAGATATGACTATTATAAATTTTCCAAAAAAGTGACATATTCAGTGATTAGTTCCCCAGTGACTATATTGACTGTGGAATGCACTATAGTGACTCTTTCTCAGTTACTTGTATGACTAGTCATATTTTTGTCCAAAAAACACAACTAGTCCTATTTTTGTCCGGAGAAACTCTGTTAGTAATATACATGTCATTTTTCTGAAGTTAATATGTATTTCTGTCTCGTTACTCATATTAACATTGCTGAGTTATGCATAACAGAAGAATCTCCTCGATATTAACACTTAACAGATATTGTGGTAATGAACATAAAATATATGTATTTTTATTTTGTGATTCAGCCGTCTACGTGGGTGGTCTCTAGTTCGTCCAATGTGAGAATAAGGATTTAATGATGGGAGTTGCTTGGTGTACACACTTTTTGTACACATTGTGTGTACACCCTCCCCAATTCTGTCTACAAGGCAGTTTCTTAACAAATTGCCTGTGTACACGAACAACTAGGAGTACACAAAATGTGTACAAAAAGTGTGTACCAACAGCTTTTTCCTTTAATGTTTTTTAACACTCAAAAAGTGTGATAATTCTATCCCCTGTGAGGTTTATTTGTAGGCCATCAGGCCCCTCAAGGCTTTTGTGCTAAGCTACTGCAATTATAGCCAACCCTATAAATAATAGGAATAGAGTTACTTTTTAGGAATAGAGACATGCTTTCTCATTTTATTACTAAAATAAATGTATACTACCTCGGCCCCGTTGAAAGGTTCTCGTGTTAAAATGACACGGTTATTTAGACAATAATTAAATTAGGTGGTTCGAGTATATTTTAAGAATTAATTTTAATGGGTATATAATGTAATGACGTTAGTGTTGATAACTATGATGTTATAAGTGTATTAATTTTAATATTTAGTGATTAATTTGTCATTTAAGATTGCTAATTGTTTCCTAAAATGGAAATGAGAACCTTTATATGGGACGCCCAAAAGAAGAAAGTATGAACCTTTCTATGGGACAGAGGGAGTAGTAAATAAGAGTACACAACCTGTAGTCACTACATAGTCTATTTAAACATCACCCATCACTACACTGAAAACACCATTATCGTCATTATGCTGTAGAGTGTAGAATCATAAACTCATAATTCTGTCCATGTTTTTTGTTTTAGTCATATATTTGTCATTATTTCTATTATCAATTATAATAACCTCTCCTTATTATCAATTTTTTTGGATGAAATGTAAAAGTACATTAACACCCAAGAAAAGTAACAAGTACATGTGTCCAAAATCTAAAGCCCCCACCCCCTCATAGAGAGGGGGTTAAGAGGGGTTTTCCATCTAGTCTAAGTCGTGGTCCAAATTTATACAACTGGTGCCCCAAAATATCAAAAAACCCATCGTCGGTGCTGCTAAAAGCACACACACAGATCCATTTTGCAATTATATATGATAACAGTTGTCTTACAATTATCAAGTCTATTGTATCAAGTCTATATATGATAACAGTTGTCTTACAATTATCTGCAGCTGTTGAAGCAAAAACGTTGGATTCTCCAAAAACTGTACCTGGGTAAGTTGTGCTTTGAGTTTTCCCAGTTTCATTCATTATTTACTCGATAACTCAGGTAAAAGTTTAATGGATAGCAGAAAAGAGCACTCTCCATCACATATTCCTCAACTTATGCTGCAATCCATACCCTCTTTCCCCACCTCTGGCACCATGCCTAAAAGGGAGTTAGGTTTGTTCCCTCCCTTTTGCACTTGGCTCTTTATTTCTTCATATTCCTCCCTTCAACACTATGCTCAAATCAGACTTATTTTTGGCCTTTGTTCTCTTGATCAGAGAAGCGAACAGTGTCGCCTCACCATTTTCGTCATTCACGAAGTGCATCTCTTTCTAGTAAGCCAGCGACACCTAAGAGTTTTCAATCAACCATCCCAAATCCAAGCCGACCGCCCACTCCTACCCCAATTCTTAGAGCACAGGTAAGCTCACATCTTTTGCATATTGCTGTTTATATATGATTTCTAGATTCACTTGCAGCCTTTTTTATGTAACTCGGTTTCTATGTCATTATTATCAAATGAAAGTTTTTTTAAAGTTTTAAACATAATTTATGCGCATTGTGCTTTATTTAGTCATTACTTTTCACTTACTTATATAACTAGCTCTCAAGCATGTGGGATGCACCGGCCATGAGTAATTTGTGAGATTTTAAGTTAGGGTTTTGCATAGTGTGTTGAAAAAGTATTAAGAAACTAGTCTATTAGTATTTCAACTATGTGCTTTTTGCTGAATACATTTATACTATATTAAATTACAGAACTTTTTATAATTGATAAAAGATATGAAATAGTAAACATTATGAAGTGTTGTCAAGACATGACAATGTAATTAAGTATACGTTCTTTTTATTTTTGTTTATTAATAGAATATATGGAATAAAGCAAAATGGCTCATTAAACTGTCTGCGCTTCTTTGTTATGGAGCAGCAGTCAGTCCATGCAATTTTGGACGTGATTTTCACTATGAGTCATTCAGAAACAGTCTCTCCCTGCTTTAGTACAGGGGTAAGACTGCGTACATCCGACCCCCTTACCCCACTGTAGGTGGGAGCCTTTGCGACACTGGGGTAAATGCAAATGAATGAATAGAATATATGGAATGGCAAGAACTATAATGTCGAGACAATGTAACAATTAATTACTGAATAGTTAAATAGTGACATAGCTTTCTTATATCACACATTGTATGCTCCCGAAAAGGTCAACTTATATATACACATATAAATCCGGCTCAAAATCGGCACTAGAGTTCCCCCTCCCACACCCACCTAAGGGTTCAGGACTCCCTTTTGTTGGTCCCATTGGTTATCTTGTCAGCAGATACTTGGGGTTGAAATATATTTCTGAAATATCTGATTTTCTGGATAATGCCTTTTGAAGACGTATACTTCAGAAAGTTGGAAGGCAACACCATTGGCTATGCATGCAGAAAGAAAGGATCCCAGAGACTCTGACCGTCGCCCCAGCAAAAGTAAGCGTCTCCTTAAAGCTTTGCTCAGCAGCAGGCGCAAGTCAAAGAATGATGACATGCTTTACACTTACCTTGATGAGTATTGATGAAACAAGATCTCACTAGAAGAGAATGTCAGGCTTCTCTTTTCTTAATGCCAAATGGGGAAGAAGCCATCATGGAAGCCGCCTTCCTCCTTTTTGTACTAAAAATGCGATTGTGTATTCAGTGTAAATTGTTTCTTCAATCATCTCTTTTCCCTTTGGCTTCATATAATCATTTTAGGTAGCTCCAACTTGTACTGGTTTTATACTCAAAAAGCCTGGTATTTTTTGTAGAAAATCTTGATCCCGTCACTAAAAAAACGCTGATAGTAATTTCTAAGATATAGGCATACAAAGGACACTGTGATAGGTCAAAGCCGTAGAACTCTTTTAGCATGTGACAGGCTTGAATCTTGAAAGGGTGAAAGGTTGCCTTCAAAGGATTTTGAGTTGCATGCAAAAGATAACTCGAATTCTGCCATGTTCATGCAAGTCCAAGGGCAGTCCTAAGCCTGATCTTTGGACCAGCCGCAATGTGAAACTAATTTGGACTTTGGACCCACATGTTTGTAGGTTTTTCCTCGAACCACTTGAGAGCCTTTAGGCCTCCTTTGGTTCAAAGGAGGGAATGGAAGGGGAGAGTCAAGGAAGGGAAGGGAAGGGGAAGTAAGGATTTTGATAAAAATTTGTATTTGGTTGGAGGAAATAGGAGGAAAGGTTTAATGAAAATATTTTTGCAATTTACATTTATTTGATAGCTTACTTAAAAAAATAGATACATGTCTAACTATTGTGAATATTACTCCTATGGTCATGAGTAAATTTTATAATTTTATAAATTTTCATTTTTCAGTCTGGAATTTTTATTTTTTAAATTTTTAATTTATAATTTTTAAATTTTTAATTTTTTAAATATTATAACGTTTTATTCATTCACTTAGGATATTGATAGTTTGTGATTATCAACAAGTTTCCTACGAAATACTCTGATTTGGGGGTTTAGAATGGGAGGAATTGGAGGATTTTGAAAGCCTTCCACTTTCCTCCCATTCCCCCCTGTTTCCTTCAACCAAAGACACACAAATACTGCACTTTCCTCCCCTCTTCTCCTCTCCAAAATCCTCCAACCAAACAGGGCCTTAGGTACAAACTAATTTTGATATTAGTTTTGAAGTAAACAATTCTACAACTTAAGTTTGTATCTTTCCATATGGGAATTGGGATGGATAATAATATCCATTATATTTCGTTTAATACGCTCAAGTGACCAATTTTGAAGTTAATTGATTGATACTGTATTTTATTGAATCAAATTTAGTTTTGTGAAGTCTATGCTGCCAAATCCATCTACTCTGAATTTAACTTCTAAAAGTATTTATCATATTAACAAACAACTATTACATAGTTCCGCCACGGTCGGTGATATGAAATTTCGGCGCATTAGCCCTGTGTGATTTAAAAAATGCATCAAATTCCCTTGTGTTTTAATTAATTATGCGCAAAATTCCTTCTATGAACAAATTCAATTGTCAAATATAGGGGTGGATTCGGTTCGGGCCACCCGGCCCGTGACCCGGCCCAGCGCTACTGTGCGGGCCCGTGACCGGCCCGGTCTATCGGTCCGGGACCGGGTGTAGACCATTCGGTGGGGATGGGCGGGGCGGGCTCGGTTCCGGAAAAAGTTGACCCGGCTCGGCCGGGTCGGGCCCGGGTCCGGGTCCAACGATCAAATTTTATTTTTTTTGTTTTGGCCAAAATAGTCGTTGGGGGTGGGCTGGGGACAACCCAAACGGCTATATAGCCGTTGGGTGGGGTGCAGGGGGGGGGTCCGGGGGGTATGGGGGGTGGGGGTGGGGGTGGCCCGACCCGTGACCCGGACGGGTGGCCCGGCCCGAACCGGACCCGTCCAACCCTCGGGCCGGTCTCGGGCCCATGTCATACAAACCGGCCCGGGCCCGACCCGGCCTGAATCCATGACTAGTCAAATATAAGAAAAATGATCAACATTTTTGTATGATTTAGAGATTTTGACATACTTGCATATTCAATCAGAATATTAGGAAAAGTGATCTTAAAATCATAAAATTTAGTCATAAAAGGAGTTCTGTGTATGATTAATTAATGTGCTGAATTTCTATAACACGAAGGAGTTTGGTGCATTAAACCCTGCATTAAACTACCTAGCCATTTTTTTGGAATAATTTTCTAAATCTATTATAGTATCTGCTCATAATAATGCAAACATTAATGATTGAGATGAGATTCGAACCTGTGATATCTACTTTGGAGATTAGCAGTGATGTCATCAGATCACAAGATAAGATACCCGCTCTGTTTCAAAAAATACTTCCCGATTTGACTTGGGATGTTTATTAAGAAAGTAGGAATAAAGTAGAAATGTATGGTTGCGGTTGAATAAGAAAAATGTAAATGAATCCAAATCACAAAAAAAATTCAAAATGGAAAATGAGAAAATTTGGGACATCCGAAAATGATAAGTGGAAAATAATTTGTGGAAGAAAGGGAGTACTTGGTAACGAGTCGTTCATTCTGATTTTGAATGTTAAATTCATAAGGTATCTAGTTGTTTTGAATTTCCTCAATTCTCTCAAACCCGCCCTCGCTGATATTGCTTGTAATTAATTTGAATTCGTGGGGAATTTTATGATTGGATTGATTGATTATAAGCTTGTTTTGGCAGGTTTTTATTTGGGGAAGATTTTATTAGGATGTTTTTAAACCTAGTTTACGTTGTCTGTATCAATAGGTTCTGAAACCAAATATCAAATTATCCTTCAAATGTGCTTTGCAAATTGAGTTCTAAAACAGAACTTCAATATGATGATAAAAATGTTCAATCTGTATTAGGGAGTTCATGGAGAGATCCTTTCAAAATCTGGAAAATTTGTAGAAGTTTTGTCGAGAATGAAGTTTGAGTTGTGCAAAAATGTCATAGGCAAAAGGAGTAAACATGATCGATCATGTTTTGGCATTTGGGTTTGTGTAATTTAAGCACTTGATTTGATGATGATGAATGATGATACATGCCAAGCAGCCATTCAGGTGGTATGCTCCCCACCTATAAATGAGATTTTAAGGCCATTGGTATACAGATTATTATATTTCCAGTTGTATTAATAAAATGATAATGCGTAGTACCTCTATATATTTTCACACTTTTGGGCAATAGTAAAATCATTTGTACTAATAGTAAAATTACAATTTTTTTCTCCCAAAAAGATACATTACATTCTTTCTATATTGTTTGATCATGTTAATATATTTAGCTGATCTTGTTTGATCATGTTAATATATTTAGCTGATCTGGTATTATCAAGAAGAAAAGGTGCATGAGAAAAAGTACTCAATTTCTAGTTGATAGAATATTAACTTAGAGAAAAGGGAGATCTAGAGAGAGAAGTGATATGTATTAATGAATTTCCAACCCTTACAACTACTCCCAAGGGGAGTATGTATAGGGAAAATATGGTCTGAGCTCCCAAGTCTTGGGCTTGGGGAGGCCCATTACAATATAAGGCCTCTATTGGGCTGATTACATTCGAATATATTAGCTAAGTATGGAAGTCTGGCTCTGTGAGCTCCCTGTGGCGCGACGAACGTCTGGCTGACGGAGGTGTGGCAGACGAAGGCCTGGGAGACGAACGTCTGGCTGACAGAGGTGTGGCAGACGTAGGTCTGGGAGATGAACGTCTGGATGACGGAGGCGTGGCAGACGAAGGTGTGGGCGACGAACGTCTGGCTGACGGAGGTAGTGCTAGAGACCGTACGTCCCCAGGGTCTTCCACGTGCTGAAGGCCGTATGTCCCCGTGGGACCGTTATGTGCTGAAGGCCGTACGTCATCAGGGTCTTCCATATGTCGAAGGGCGTACATCCCCGGGGTCTTGTTTGCTGTGTTTGGATCACTTGGACCTGTTGGGCCTGTTCGTAGTAGTGGAAGTATGTGCGCCGAGGGTTCGTGGGCCATATACTCCATCACGAGTCCCCCACTCTCTAAGCTGAGATGCAGACGAAGTGAAAGGGAGTAGATCCTTGTTGTTCTGACGCTTTGGCCGACGGAGGTACCACTTGGTGGTTGATGATGCTCGTTGCTGCTTTCTGGGCCATCGTGGGCTGCCTTTAGTGCTTCTGGCCGAGGAGGCACCACAATTGCTTTTAGCGCTCCAGGCCGAAGAGAAATCATTCAGAGTTTGGTGTCCATGGCTTTGAGGACGATGGGGGTCCTAGACCCGAGGACGTTGTGCGCACGAAGAAAGTCCTGCTTTGAAGACGATGCGTGTCATTGGCCTTAAGGACGATGAGTGTTCTTGAGTTCGAGGACGATATGTGTCTTTCATTTTAAGGACGATGTGCGCCCGAAGAAAGTCCTGCTTTGAAGACGATGCGTGTCATTGGCCTTGAGGACGATGAGTGTTCTTGAGTTCGAGGACGATATGTGTCTTTGATTTTAAGGACGATGCGTGTCCTTGATATTGAGGACGATGTGCGTCATGCTTTGCGCTTTGTCTTGGCAGAAGGTAGACGTCCGTGGTGTCCTTGTCATTCTGGCCGACGGTGGATCACATAGTTGAGGACGTCCATGGTTTTGTGCTTTTGACTTTAGCTGATGGTTCATACGCTTGTGGACGTTGTGGTGCATAGACGATACGATTTTGTCGCAGTGGTATACTTGTGCGTTCTTGGATTTTCAATTTCATCCTTGCGTTTGGAGGCCGATGTAGTCCCTCGGTCCCCCACTCCCTGAGGCGAGAGTACTCGAGGTGAAAGGGAGTAGAGTAATGCATGTCTTCAACACGGGGCCGAGGGTCGACACCTTTTGATCCACAATGGGGAGATGTCTCGTTAAAAACCTCATTAGGAAAAACCCTCTGGGAAAAAATCCTAATGAGGGAAAAAGAGTACACCGGATGCCCCCAAAATGAAGCAAAAGTTGCGTTCCATTCGGCCTGGGCGTGGAGCTACCGAGCTGCAGCGGTGTCCGTCTCTTGAGGGTAATCCCGTCTGATGATGAGGACGACGACGCTGATGAGCCGGTCCGAATATGAGGACGAGGCGATGGATGCCTGCCTGAACATGAGGATGATGAGGTGGGGATGAGCCGTGTGTCATATGAAGGTGACAGTCGCTATCTAGGAAGGGAATGGTGAGCTCGATCGCTAGCTCATGACATTCGGCGCTGGGGAAGCCGATCTTTGATATACAGAATCACGAGGCTGAGAGGTCGTTCGTGATTTGGGGACATCGGCGCTGAGGAGCCGATCATTATATAAAGGCGATGGTCCCCATCCTGGAAGGGATGGAGAGCTTGATCACTGG